TTGGAAACCCCCCCAAAATACCACGTTTAGTAATTCCATGGGATCCCACAGGGTTCCTGCTTTAAGGACTGCCTCACCCCACACCTCCTTGAGCCCTGTCCAGCCAAGTTGCTGTATTATGACACAACTTGCTTTTTAGGGATCCCCCTCTACGTCTTGACCCTGGTGGCATTCGCACTTTTCCCTTGGCATCCCAAGGTCCAAGCACATGGACCTTGGCCTTTATTCCATTTTTAGCCATTTTCAGAGCTCCTTTTCCCCCTAAGTATCCCTTAATTCCTGCAAGACACCAACACTAAACAAGCCAAACTAACCCACAATCAAAACCCCACAATCACCTTTAAAATTTAAGATTTTCCTCAATTAAAAAGCTACTTTGACTTTCGTATCGGCGCTTGCTCCGTGATGAAAATTCCCAACACCTCCCAACCTGGAGAAAATCCAACGCTCGTGCTCCCAGAGTTGTAGAGATGATATTAAAAACAAGGTGGGAAGAAAGCTACACATTTTTCATCCCCCAAAAGCATCTTCAGGCAGCGAGATGAGCTGGAACAGCCTCTGAACTCCCCGAGGAGGCAGCGGTGGATCTGAGGCTGGGTTTGGGCTCCCCAGAGGAACAAATCCTGCGGGATTCTCTCCGTGCCTCCAGCAGCTCCAGAGGCACGCTGAGAGGAGGGAGAGGCTCCTCGGGTGTCATTCCACCTGGGCTGAGGGTGGAGGTGGCACTGAGGCTATGGGATGTTCCCAGAAAACCTTGGCTGGGTGTGAAACAGCTCAGTGACAACACGGAATCGTGGAGGATGGAACGGGGTGGGGGATAAAGGCCTGGAAATCACCTCATTCCACCTTATCCCACTGTTATTCCACACCTCCCACCGTCCCAGGCTGCTCCAAGCTGGCCTTGGCCACTTCCAGGGATCCAGGAGCAGCCACGGGTTCTCTGGGAATTCCAGCCCAGCTCCTTCTCACCCTCCCAGCCAGGAATTCCTTCCCAAAATCCCAGCCCTGCCCTCTGGCAGTGGGAATCCATCCCTCGTCCCAAGTCCCTCTCCCTGCTGAAACACATCCCACAAAAAGCGGACGCTGAAATTTCAGGGAGCGTCACATCAGGGGTTTTAAACTTTTCCATTTGGGGAAAATCCAGGCTGGACATGGAGAAAGGTGCCTGAAAGTCCTTAAGGATGGATTTTCCTCCCCAATATCCCACCCAAATCTCCCCTTTTCCCAGTTGGAAATCATTCCCTGTGTCCTGTCCCTCCATCCCTTGTCCCCAGTCCCTCTCCCTGCTGAAACACATCCCACACAAAGCAGACACTGAAATTTCAGGGAGTGTCACATCAGGGGTTTTAAAATTCACACACACACTTTCAACATTTGGGAAAAAAAACAGGCTGGACATGGAGAAAAGTGCCTGAAAGTCCTTAAGAAAGGACAGCAAAGCACAAATTGGGAAAACTTTGCCCGTTTCCCTTTGGCTACAGCAGCAGCCCCAACTTTCCAGCACAATTCCTGGGATTCACCCTTCTCAGAAAAGCAGGAACCCACTTCAGGAATCCCAGCCAGGCACTCTGGGACAGGGTGGGAATTTGGGATGTCTCTGACTTCCAACATCAGCTCAAAAAAGGGGGTGCTGGATCCCAGCTGCTCCCGGCCCAGCAGCTTCCCAACATTTTGTCCATGATACACAAAATAGTAACACACAGATAGAGAAAAATCCCAGTGAATTATTTGCTCTAAATACCAATATTCCAGGTTTTTAAAGGATTTGTCATGGATGCAAGTGGACAGAGCTCTGCTTCCCTGAGGATTTTACACCTTCCAGCACTAAGAATGGAGCAAGCGCACAAAATTCAACAAAAAATGACCACAAAATTCAACCAAATATGACCAAAAAAGCTCTGCAGGTTTCTTTTAAACACCCTGAGCTCCAGGATCCATCCACTGCAGCAGCACCATCATTCCCACCTGCCTGAATAAAGTGGATTTTGTAGGATGTGGATCCGTCAGGTAATTCAAGTTTTGGGCTAATGCAGACAACCAGACTCCCTAATCCCAGATTTCCAGCAGAACCTTCCCAAGTGCTCTCTGGAGACCAAAATTTGGACATTAATAGTCTCCATCATCATCAACCATCCGCTTCCTGCTAAAACTGCACTACAAAGAGCAATTCTCACCTCAAAATTTGAGATATTAATAAAAAGGAACTCCTGACAAATCCCAAAATGAGAGATTTAAAAATAAGCCGTTCCTGACCTACCCCAAAAGCCAAGATTTTAATTTAAAAAAATTTCCTGAAGCACCCAAAAATTGGAGATTTTAAAAAAAAGCAATTCATGACCTACCCCAAAATGCAGTATTTTAATAAAAAACAATGCTTGACACACCCCAAAATTTGTGATTTTAATAATGAAGCTCCCCCAGTACAAGTTTTAGCCCAAAACTGTATTTCCTCTGACTAAAAGTAATTACAGTTAAGGCGTTCTGCAGGGCCCTGGAGATGTAAATATATAGGTTAAACATAGTTAAAATTCCACATCCTACTTAATTGCAGGCATTTTCCACGGAACAAAATGAGCTTTTATCTTCAGCTTTTAATTATTAATAACCACGAACAATGTCACCACCTTTAAACAATAACCCCGGCCTGAGAAGGAAATATTTCTCCCCAAATTTCCACAGGCACTGAGCGCACGTGGGGGGAATAAGAAGCAATTTTAGGAAGTTAATGTGGATTTTGGGGCGATTTTGGAGTGAGCAGGCCCTGAGCCTCCACCCCCACCTGGATAGGGATTAATGAGAGCAATTAGCAGGATTTTTGTGGGGTTGCCAAAGCGCTGAGAGGAACCAGCAGGATCCAGGAGAGGGATTCCCGGGATCTGGAAGCGCCAGGAACAGGGAGAGCGCCTGGATCCGGCCGACTCAGCTGAATCATAATGGCTGCATTGCCATTACCTTTCCTGAACAAGGCCAACCTAAACACAGGCAGCTGCCTGGGATTTAGCAGGAGATTTACTGCCCAGAGACCTACAAATCACCACGCCACACACACAGCCCCAGAACACCCCGGATCCCCCCAAAATCTGTGAGTGTTCTGGGATTATTCCTATTAAAAATAAAATTTAAAAAACCCTCTCAGCGTGGGCAAGCGCGGAGCTTCCCTGAGCCTGAGGGGCCTCCACGCTCCGGCTGCCACCCGGATCCCCTTTCCCTGGGTTTGAGGTTATTAACATCAAACATGTGATCGGCCACATGACAGGCTAAAGGCTAAAAAGGAAAAAAAAAATTAAATAAATAAATTTAAGGGAAAAAAAAAAAAAAAAAACAAAATCGCTTGGACACATGCAGAGGGGAAAGGGAGAGATGGCAGCGTGGTGGGTACACCTCCATGGCCGTGGATTACAACCATTCCTGGGAAATCGCTGCTTTCCAGCCGGCCGGAATGATGGAAGCCATGGCGGGAGGAGGTTTAATAACGGGGTGATTGTGTAACTTGGAGCCTCCCGGCGAAAGTTGAGGCACCCAGTGGATGTTCCTGGTGCATGGGGACGAGGATGGCACCGGATCAATTAGGGCAGCGAAATGTGCATCCCCCCCAACCTCCTCCTCCTTCTCCTCCCGAGATCCAGGAGTTTCTCCGCTAACGTATTTCTCTCCTCATTAACTGCTTCGGTGTCTTCTGCTCTTTCCAAAATAGTACCTACTATAACGGGGCCGCAGAGGGGGCCAGCTGGCACGGCCGCGGGGCATCCAGACAGCGAGCAGGGATTTGGGGAGGAAGGACACGGGGGGCTGGCAGGATGAGGGCAGGGAGGGCTCCCATCCCTCCCTCCCTTCCCCCAAATCCTCAGGGGAACCCCAGTTCCACCCAAAGCAGCGGCTCAGCCCCCCAGGATGGGGGTGAGGGTCATTTGGGGGTGTGATGAGGCCCAGGCCGGGATGGGGATTCCCCCTACCCCCCCCAAAAAAAAGGGATGTCCCCCTGTTGTCACCCCTCCTTGTCACCCCCACTGTGCCCACAGAATGGAGGGAAGGGGCTGCATCCTCTTGGACCAGGGGGGGCTAAAAATGCCCTCTCCTCACCCCTCAGTGCAGGTACCCCCAGCAACCAGAGATGCCCCCCAAACCAAAGCCCCTCTGCGGAGGTTTCTGACAGAACAGGGGGTGTCCCCCCAGCCTGACCCCCCCATCAGGGCTCTCCCTTAAGGGGGCTGTCCCACTGGACCCCCCCTCCCCTCTATCTTGGGGATGACCCCCCCAAATCACGCTCTCCCCGATTTTACAGCCTCCCCCCAGCCTGGGGGTGCCCCCCAATATCCCCCCACTCAGGGGATGACCCCCCCCAAACCAGAGTCCTCCTTAACGGGGGGTCACCCACCAGAACACCCCCTCCTCACCACTACAGGCATCCCTTCCCCCCCGGCCCTCCTTTAAAGGGGGTGCCCCCCAAAATCACGCTGCCCCCCCCCACCCCTTTCTCGGTTCTCCCCCAACCTGGGGACCCCCCCTCAAACCAGGCTCCCCTCACCCAAACCAGGCATCCCTCTCCGGGTTTCCCCAGCTGGGGGGGGGGCTCTAACCTGGGGACCCCCCCCAAAACCAGGCATACCCCCATATTTCTGGGGAATATCCCCCTAAACCAAGCTCCCCCTCCTCCCATATCACGCTCCCTGCCTCTCCTTTCTCCGGGCTCCTCCAACCTGGGGACACCCCAAACGAGCCTCCCTTCTTTCCTCAGGACTCCCCACTTTGGAGTCTCCCCCTTTAACCCCCTCCTTTCTGGGGGCTCCCCCAGCTTGGGCTCCCCCACAAAATCACGCTCCCCCCCTTTTTCCTCCGTCCTCCCTCAAAACCAGCTGCTCCCTCACAACCCAGCCACATTCCCCTCTCCTTTCTGGGGGCTCCCCCAATTCGGGGACCCCCCAAAACCTCCCTCACCCCCGTTTCTCGCGCCCCCCCCGCGCCCCCCGCGCAGGCAGGGGGCGCCCTCGCCGCCCCCTCACCCTTGACGATGCGCTCGGTGGTCGGCAGCTTGTTGTGGCCGCGCCCGGACATGGTGGCGGCGGCGGCGGCGGCGGCAGCACCGCTCCCCGCCGTGCCCCGCTCCGCTCCCCTCACCCGGAGCGGGGGCCGCGCCGGTGCTCCCGGCGGACCCGCTGGGCTGCCCCGGCGGCGGCGGCTCCGCGGCGGCGCTGCGCTCCCCCCCCGTGCCGCCCCCGCCGCCGCCGCCACACCGCCCTCCGCCCTCCGCCCGCCCGCGCCTGCGCCACGCCCGCCCCGCCCCGCCCGCCATCTTGGAGGGAAGGGGGCGTTGCTAAGCAACGGGGGGGGCAACATGGCGGCGGCGCTGAGGGGGCAGCGCGGGAATGGCGCTGAGGGTGTTTGAGCACCCCAAACACAGCTTTGCTGGGGCTGTTTGAGCACCCCCGAGCACAGCCCCCGGGCACAGCCTCGCTGGGACCACACACTGCCGTGGGAGGGGTTGTAAAGATCGGCCAGTGCCACCCCCCGCCATGCCCAGGGACGCCTCCCGCTGTCCCAGCTGCTCCAAGCTGGCCTTGGGCACTTCCAGCGATCCAGGAGCAGCCATGGATTCTCTGGGAATTCCAGCCCAGCTCCTTCTCACCCTCCCAGCCAGGAATTCCTTCCCAAAATCCCAGCCCTGCCCTCTGGCAGTGGGAATCCATCCCTTGTCCCAAGTCCCTCTCCCTGCTGAAGCGCATCCCACACAAGGCGGACGCTGAAATTTCAGGGAGTGTCACATCAGGGGTTTTAAACTTTTCCATTTGGGGAAAAAACCAGGCTGGACATGGAGAAAGGTGCCTGAAAGTCCTTAAGGAAGGACCTTTCCTCCCCAATATCCCACCCAAATCTCCCTTTTCCCAGCTGGAAATCATTCCCTGTGTCCTGTCCCTCCATCCCTCGTCCCAAGTCCCTCTCCCTGCTGAAACGCATCCCATCAAGGATTTTAAAATTCCCACACACACTTTCAATATTTTCCATTTGGGAAAAAATCCAGGCTGGAAATGGAGAAAGGTGCCTGAAAGTCCATAAGGATGGATTTTCCACCCCAATATCCCACCCAAATCTCCCCTTTTCCCAGTTGGAAATCATTCCCTGTATCCTCTCCCTCCATCCCTCATCCCCAGTCCCTCTCCCTGCTGAAACGCATCCTATACAAAGCAGACACTGAAATTTCTGAAATTTCAGGGAGCATCACATCAGGGGTTTTAAAATTCCCACACACACTTTCAATATTTTCCATTTGGGAAAAATCCAGGCTGGACATGGAGAAAGGTGCCTGAAAGTCCTTAAGGAAGGAGCTTTCCTCCCCAATATCCCACCCAAACTTCCCCTTTTCTCCCGTTGGAAGCCATTCCCTGTGTCCTCTCCCTCCATCCCTCGTCCCAAGTCCCTCTCCCTGCTGAAACACGTTCCATCAGGGATTTTAAAATTCCCACACACACTTTCAATATTTTCCATTTGGGAAAAATCCAGGCTGGACATGGAGAAAGGTGCCTGAAAGTCCATAAGGATGGATTTTCCACCCCAATATCCCACCCAAATCTCCCCTTTTCCCATTGGAAGCCATTCCCTGTGTCCTGTTTCTCCATCCCTTGTCCCCAGTCCCTCTCCAGCTCTCCTGGAGCCCCTTCAGGCCCTGGAAGGGCTCTGAGCTCTCCCTGGATCCTTCCCTTCTCCAGGTGAACATTCCCAGCTCTCCCTGGATCCTTCCCTTCTCCAGGTGAACATTCCCAGCTCTCCCTGGATCCTTCCCTTCTCCAGCTGAACATTCCCAGCTCTCCCAGCCTGGCTCCAGAGCTGATATTCCTTAGAACATTTTTGAGAGAAAGGAAGAACAGACGATGGTCTGTTCCTACCACTTGAAGATGAAGGAGGGGACAGGGTTAGGTGGGATATTGGGAAGGAATTCCCGGCTGTGAGGGTGAGGAAGGGCTGGGATGGAATTCCCAGAGGAGCTGTAGCTGCCCCTGGATCCCTGGCAGTGCCCAAGGCCAGGTTGGAGCAACTTTGGATAGTAAAACGTGCCCCTGCACATGGCAGGGGTGGCACTGGATGGGCTTTAACCAACCCAAACCATTCCAGGAATTCCATGACCCCATCCAGCAGCATTTTCTGAGGTAACTCAGCTTTCAGGCATTCAGCAAAACACAAGGATTTTGCAGCAGAAAAGAGCCCTCCCAAAGCCCCCCTAGAAGTGCTGATGAGCAAGTCTGATGCTCACTGTGACCTTCCTTGCTTAATAAAAACAATAATTAATTTTTTCTTTTTATGAAACACCTCACAATATCAAGATTTGGTTTCTTTAGTTTTTAAAAACTGAATTTGCTCCTCAGAGTTGGCAGACTGGGGGGTGGGGTGGGTTGGAATGGTGTAGAAAAAGGCAAAAAAAGAGAAGTAGAACAGCAAAGTTTGCCTTTTTCTCCCAGCCAAAACAGAAATAAATTTCAGATAAATAAATAAAAATTAAAAAAAAAGAAAAAATAGATATAAATAATGAAGGCAGGGTTTTTGGATCCGTAAAGGCCGCGCAGTGCGGGCAGGCTGGGGGTTGTCAGTGCCACCTCCCGTCAGCCGCTCTGCACTGCACAGCCACGGAATTCCAGCTGGAAAACCGGGATTGCATCACCCAGCCCCGCTCCAACCCTTCCCCTTGGAAAAATCCTGAGCCAGCAGCGCTCCCACCCCTCCATCCCCCAGCTGCAGGGAGGATCTCGCAGCCGGAGCACGCCTGGGACCCTCCGTCATTACAGAATATATTTTATTTATGGGATTTTACAAATATCTGTACAACTCGCGTGACATTTAACTTAACGCTCTTTGTTTCTCTCCCTACAACACCTGAGTTATAACTGAAATACTGAGATGGAACTTGAGCTTGGTGAGGCCAAGGAGACACGGGTGAAAATCCACCAGGAGCCGGGTTTGGGTGGGTTCCCATCCCTCTCCCGCTGGCAGGTGCCAGCCTGCCCAGGGGAACAGGAGCTCTCCTTGGTGGCAGGGAAACCTCATTTCTCACCCCCAGCCCAACCCCAAACCTCCGATTTCTCAAACAGGGATAAGCTGGGGACGAGAAGACAGCAGAGTTGCGATGCCCACGGTGAATCCTGCCGGCTCTGAGGGTGCCAAGCTCTGCTCTCGGCCACTTCCCAGCTCTTGGGGACCTCCCAGGCACAGCCCAGAGGGGACAAAGCCACCACTTCACCCTGTCCTCCCCCATGGAGGCTTTTCCAACCCCCTGTGCCCTGCCAGAAACATGGGGCTTTCCAAGGAAGTGTTTGGAGAGGAGAGGAGAGGGAGAGGGAGAGGGAGAGGGAGAGGGAGAGGGAGAGGGAGAGGGAGAGGGAGAGGGAGAGGGAGAGGGAGAGGGAGAGGGAGAGGGAGAGGGAGAGGGAGAGGGAGAGGGAGAGGACCTGTGCCAGTGCAAGGACTCAGATTTTCCACACTGAGTCTGTCACCTGGGGCTGCGGCTCTCTCAAGCAAGGAAAAACTGTCCCCAATGCCCCTTTGGTCCTGGAACTGCAGCACAGGGAATGCCTGTGAGGTGATGAACGACTGTCCCAGCCAGCGCAGCCCCTGCTCTGTCCCAGTGGGAAAAGTGACTTTTGGTGACAATCCACAAAGGATGCCACACGGGACAAAGCCGAGTCTCTCCTCGAGGGAATCACCCGAGGACCGTGTGGCACCTTTGGGTGAAGGGTGATCCCAAAAAGGCTCCCTGCTCCTCCAGAAGTTGATATTTAGGTTTTGGGGATGCAGGACAAAGTCAAGAGCCGGGGGATGCTGAGGGGACAAATGGCCAGACTACAAAAGCCACCAAGAGTGCAGGTGATGATCCATGAGGATCCTGGTGGTGCCAGAGGCCACGGGCTCGGTGACAGCTGTTGGGAGCTTAGGAAGAACATCACCCAGCTGGGAACTACGGGAATTCAGGGATTACAGCGATCCAGCCAGGGTACAACGCTGCCAGGGGTGCTGAGCCTGTGCCAGGGCCCTCTGTCCTGAGATGGGCAGGGATAATACCTGGCACAGCCTCAGGTTTGCTTTCCTCAGAGGGCAAAGGGAAGGTGTGGGAGCCTCAGCTCCAGCACGGTGCCACCACCCTGTCACACCCCGCACACCTGCACAGGTGGGCAGCGAAGGAAGACACCTCACAAACACTTCCAAAGCACCCGCACCTCTCCTCCATCCCGATCCAGCGCCAAACCACGAGGGATTCCCCTGAATCCACAAGCTCACACCAGGTACAGGACGAGGGGTCTGAGGGCAAAAGGGGTGCGAGGGAACCTCAAGCAACACGGGTGGGGTGGGCAATCTTATCAATATGATAATAAGTAATTCACCTAGTGAATCTGGGAAGTGCCTGGAACACCCTCCTCTGGCTACTCCCTACGGCTGGGAACACGCAACCTGAAGAGGTTCACAGTCTGAGTTTTGCTTTTAAAAACACCCCCCACCCCACCCTGAACCTTAGCACTGTTGAAAAACCGGTGGCTGATCCTGGGTGTCACCGTGAGCTTGGACACAGCCTGAGGAGAAATCCCTGGGCAGGGCTCTGCTCTCATCCCCTTCTGAGCAGCCCTCACGGAGGAGGAGGAGGAGGAGCTGGGGCTCACTCCTGATTCCAGCAGCACGGGCTGAAGAGGGGTCAGGGCATCCTGGCAGGCTTTTCCAGCAGCCCAAGTGCCACTCCAACCCAGTTTGGTGTCCTCTGCTCTGAGCACTGACACCCAAAATGTGCTTTAAAACCCCTGCTGCCCTCTTCACCCTGCTCTCGCCAGGGCATTGTCCGGGCTGAACGGAGCAAAAGCGGTCTGATGATGGTGGCATCGTGAACCTCCTCATCCTCGGAGAGTTCTGGCTGTGGGGAAGGGTCTGTCCCTGTCTGTCCCCATCACACACCCCCAGAGGGGTCAGGACAGCCTCACGGCCCAGGGGAATGCTCCAAGCACAGCCAGAGGAGCAGCACGGCTGCAGCAGCTCCTGTCTCCCCATTCCATCCTTCCTGGGAGAGGCGAGGAGAGAAGGGATGTGACACTGGATAAAGTCAGGTCAGTCCTATGGGAAGGGGAATTCCACTCCCCTCAGCCTTAAAACCAGGAAAAAAAAAAATCCATGGAATAGCTTTCAAAGCAGTGTCTCTCCTGTAGTGTGACGTCAGTGCCTGCACAGGTACCGTCGTATGTTTGCAGCAGGAAAAGGAAAGAAAAAAAAAACCAAAAAAAGAAAAAACCCTTCCCTCCCCCCCCAAAAAAAAAAAAATTGAAAAATTGGATCAGGGCTGCAGCTCGGGCTGGTCCTACCCTATCTGGATCTGCCCCGAGTACATGGTGAGCAGCACCATGATGGTGAAGCCCGTGAGCAGCCCGGCGTTCTGGATGGCGAAGGTGATCAGCGCGCTGCCGTTCTGCTCATCCTCCCGGCTCACCTCGTTCATCTCCGGGAACTGCGGGGGAAAACGTTGGGGTGGCAGGGCTCAGTGACAGCCCCATCCCTCCTCAGCAAACATCCACCCGCCTCCCACCCCGGGGATTTCAGCCAGGCAAAGAAAGCAGAGATATCTGCGTGTGCCGAGGGGACGGAGCGAACCCCGCCGTGCCTGCAGGCTGAGGGCGAGCAGAGCTTTTCCTAGGAAAAAATCCCAGGGTTCTGGGCTCGGATTTGGGGCTCAGGATTTACCATGTCAGCCAGGGCTATGTACAGGAACATCCCTCCAGCCAGGGCGAAGATCCAGTTGGCAGAGAAGTGGCTGCCGGCCACGATGCCGAAGGCCAGGCCCACGTAGCAGCAGCAGGCGGAGATGAAGTTGAAGAAGAGCGCCTGGCGAATGGTCATCCCAGCATTCAGCAGGATCACAAAGTCCCCTGGCGGAGAAGAAGATGGGAGGATGAGGAGGGGAGGGCTGTCAGCAGCTCTGGGACAGCACCGACTCGTGCTCATAGAAACACGGAATATGTACCCTCTCATCTGTCCCTAAATTTGGACATTCACACCCAAACCTGCCTCTCCTTCACTGATCTCTCCACTAAATTCAGACATTCACACCCAAACCTGCCTCTTCTTCACTGATCTCTCCACTGAATTCAGACATTCACACCCAAACCTATGTCCCCTCTGATCTGCCCCTAAATTTGGACATTCACACCCAAACCTGCCTCTCCTTCACTGATCTCTCCACTAAATTCAGACATTCACACCCAAACCTATGTCCCCCCTCATCTGTCCCTGAATTTGGACATTCACGCCCAAACCTGCCTCTCCTTCACTGATCTCTCCACTAAATTCAGACATTCACACCCAAACCTATGTCCTCTCTCATCTGTCCCTAAATTTGGACATTCACACTCAAACCTGCCTCTCCTTCACTGACCTCTCCACTAAATTCAGACATTCACACCCAAATCCACCTCCCACCTCGTCTGCCCCTAAACTTGGACATTCACACCCAAACCTGCCTCTCCTTCACTGATCTCTCCACTAAATTCAGACATTCACACCCAAATCCACCTCCCACCTCGTCTGCCCCTAAATTTGGACATTCCCACCCAAACCTGCCTCCCACTCACTGACCACAGCACCGTCCCTAAACCCACACACTCACACCCAAACCCACCTCCCCTCCACTGACCCCTCCAAACCCACACACTCCCACCCAAACCTTCCTCCCCCCTCCCAAACCAACGAGGTGCTGAGGGTTTTTTTTTTTTTTTTTGCCTTCAGATGCCTCCATCTAAATTTAAATCTCAGACATCATATTACCTCGTTATTTTTAGAGCGGCGATTACTCAGAGCAGTTTTCAGCCCTCCCTCTCCCCCCTCTCAGCAGCATCGCTGTTTATTCCACCCCAAATCCGCCTTTCTGGGGTGGACAAAGGATTCAGGGCGAGGAAGGGCAGAGCCAAGGAGCCACAAACCCAGCTCATGAGGGAATTCCTCGCAGAGGATGGCCACGGAGGTGCTGATCCCTTGGAAGACGGAGACGGTGAAGGAGGCGCCGATGGCCAGGCCGTCGATGAAGTTGTGCAGCCCGTCGCTGAGCGTGATCATCCAGGCCAGCGTCCCGATGTCCGAGTACCTCACCTCCTTCAGCCAGTAGCACGCGCTCTGCGAGGCCTGCAGGTCCTGCCAGGGCACCCCGAAATGGAGCCAGCACCCAAAGGGGGTCACTGACCCCTCCTCCAGACGGGAAAACCACCCCGCTCACCGCCAAACCCGCACGGCGCAGCTGCCCGTTCCCGCCGCACGCGGGGAATTTGGGCTGCAAAGCTGGTTTTTACTAATTTTGCCACCATGCCACGGGATGAGGCGCTCACCTGGACAGAGAGGGAGCCCACCACGGCCTTCTCCTCCCCGGAGGGGGGCTTGCACTCCAGCTCGCTGGTGATGTGTGGGATCATGTGGTCCAGGTCCCCGTTCTGCAGCTTCTCCGTGACCCCCTCCTCCTGGTCCTTCTTGGAGGGCAGAGCCTCGGGGCCGTAGTGGCTGTGCCCGTGGTGGTGCTGTGGGATCAGGGGATTCAGGGCTGGCAGTCATTCCGATATTCCTGCTCTTTCCTGCCCTGCCATCCCGGTATTCCTGCTCTCTCCTGCCCTGCCATCCCGATATTCCTGCTCTTTCCCACCCTGCTATCCCAATATTCCCACTGTTTCCCATCCCTCCATCCCAATATTCCTGCTGTTTCCCACCCCTCCATCCTGAAATTCCCACTGTTTTCCACGCCTCCATCCCAATATTCCCGCTGTTTCCCATCTCTCCATCCCAATATTCCTGCTGTTTCCCACCTCTCCATCCTGAAATTCTTCCTATTTCCCACCCCACCATCCCAATATCCCTGCTGTTTCCCATCCTGCTATCCCGAAATTCCTGCTGTTTCCCCTGCCCCGCTATCCTGAAATTCCTGCTGTTTCCCACCCCTCCATCCCAAAATTCCTGCTGTTTCCACCCCTCCATCCTGAAATTCCCGCTGTTTCCACCCCTCCATCCCAAAATTCCTGCTGTTTCCCACCCCTCCATTCCAATATTCCCGCTGTTTCCACCCCTCCATCCCGAAATTCCCGCTGTTTCCCACCCCTCCATCCCCTGCTCCACCTCACCTGGTCCTTCTGCTTCAGGAGCATCTTCAGGATCTTCTCCGTGAAGAAGAAGAGGTAGAAGCCCCCGAACACCACAGCGGATTTGGAGACGTAATAATCTTCCTGAGGGTTGAATCCAAACGCCTGCAGGCAGGAGGGGACCCGGGAGAGGATGAGGAGCAGCCCCTGGCAGTGTCCTTTGTCCTTTTTGCCCCTGGGGTGACACTGGAGGGGTGGCACAGCTCTGGGCTGTCTCTGAGGAGCAGCTGCTTTGGGGACAAGCTCAGGGAACACCTTTGTGCACCTGTAAGTCTCCCTCATTCCCTCCTCCAAGCCGGCTGTGCCCCAAGGCAGCCATCCAGGGATGCCAAAACCAGGCTCCTCTCTGCAGTGGGGGAGGAAAAGCCAAAAAAGGCAATAAAACAACGATTCTCTGCTTGAAGCAGACCGGGGATCTCCCTGGAGCCATTCCCTTCCAAACTGCAGCTCCGAGGGGCTCCCAGCCCTCCGTACCTCGCTCTGGGCTCCCCTTCTCCAGCCAGAGAGAGAAACAGCCCCAGAGAGAGAGAAAGAGAGAAAAGCACGGACCCGCCAGTCCTCTCCCTACCTCGGGAATGAGCTGGAAGAGGGCGTTGGAGTAGAGAGTTCCAATCGCCAGAGCTATGAAGTAGAGGAGCAGCCGCTTGTAAAAGGTCTTCTTCATGAAGGGCACCACGCTGGCTCCCACCAGCGAGCACAGGGAGATGACGGAGACGCAGAGGAAACCGTAACCCCACACTGGCAGAGCCAAACCCACCCCGGGAGCCACGGGAGACACGGGAGAAGGGACGAGATCAGCGTGGGGATGGGCGGGGAAGGAATCCACAGCGACAGGACAGAGAGAAGAGGAGGGAGAGAAGAGGACATTCATTAGTGATTCTTGTTCATCCAGCGCCGCCTCCAAAGGGCGAGCCCGGCACTCAGCGGCTTTGGGAGAGCTTGGCAAGCTCGGCTGGGTTTTGGTGGGCAGGTTGTGGCCCAGCCAGCCCCCAGCTCTGCTCCGTGGGTCATTCCCAAGCCACGGAGCGCCCGGATCCCCCGAGCACCTCGTACAATCCAGCCCCGTCCTGCAGCTCCACGTGCCGGCAGGGCTGGAGAGTACCTCTGGCAGCTCAACTCCTGCCAGATCAGGAATTAGAGGCGCTTGTTTTTTATATCCAGCAAATAAAAGTTGCAGTTCTGGAGCTGAAAAAGCTTGGAAAAACATCCCACTGCCAGCACGGATGAAGCGTTCGCTGCCCAGCAGCAAGCGGGCAACGCCAGGGGGAAAAACCCGCTGGAATTTGAAGGTTGGATGTGCCAAATCCAGCTCATCCTCTGAGGAGGCACCTGGACCACGTTCCAAAGGTTTCCAATCCAGGTGGATTTGCTCAGCCCCAGAATTGCGCAATTACAACACAATTAATTTGCGATATTTCTGTCGGTCCCATCAGAGCACCAGGAAACCTCATGGAAGCCAGAACCCTTGTGGGAACATTGGGCTGGGAAATCAGGTAGGGGGGAAAAAAACCAGATATTAAAATGATTTGTAGAAGTTGGCTGATTCCAGAGAAAGCCACTGCTTCTCTAGGCTGTTCTCCGTGCTTTTATATGGATATTTGATTATATTTTCATGGATATTTCACATTTTTTTCCCTCTGGCTCATGCCAGAAGCATGGCTGAGCATATAACTCCGAGGGATAAACTCCTGGACACCCAGAGCAGGAGCAAACAGCTTCTCCCAGCACATTCCCACCGCTCAGACGTGGCAGGGATGGAGGACACGGAGGATTTCCTGGTGCTCAGAGGGGTGAGAAAAGCCCTGCGGAGCCCCTTGAGCCAAGCCCTGAGCCTCGGGTGACGAGGGGTCGGATGGATTCGGCGGGGTGGAGGCAGAGAAGGGCGCCCACGGAGCTGCCCCCGGAGACGGGAGAGAGGCAGGGACGTTCTACCGCACCTCTGGGATGAGCTGGAAGAGCGCGTTAGAGAGCAGCGTGCCGATGGAGAGCGCGATGAAAAACAGCAGCACCCGGCTGAAAAAGGCCTTCTGGGAGCACGGCACGATGAGGACTCCGAGCAGGGAGGCCACGTTAATCATGGACACACTGAGAAAACCAAAGCCCCACGCTGCGGAACGAGAAGAAACGAGGGCCAGACATTACCGAGGCTCTCGGCGAGCCCGGACCTGGGCGGGAGGGAAGGGCAGCTCCCCGTGCTCCGGATGCTCCAGCTGCGACAAAACCGTCGTGTTCGGCGCAGAGAAGGTGGGAGTGAAGCCACGGGAAAAGATTTTCCCTTCTCAAGGTTTTCCCGAGCCAGCCGCAGCGTGGGAGAAGCCGAGCTGTGCTCAGGGCAGCTGATCCAAGACCTTGGGAGCTGGCTGGTGGCTGGAGGCCAGCGGGACCCTCAGGGTCACCCCCTCCCACCCATGGGAACCCACAGCAGAGCCCCCTCCTCATCCAGCTCATCCTCATCCCGGAGGCACAGAGGTTATCCCGGCAAAACAGCGGCGAGGGAAGCTTGGTTCCCAGTGCTGGAGGCAGGGAATTCCCAGGAGTGGGAACTGGCTGTTCCTCACGTCCCCGTGGGCCCCCCAGCACCCCAATTACCTTCAGCAGAGCTGGGCCTGCTCTCCTCTGTCTGCTCATTCTCCTCGTTCTCCAGGTTTTCGGAGGCGCACGCCCCCGACTCCAGCTGCTGCAGGATGGTGGGGCAGAACTCCTTGAACTCGCTGTGCCCCACCGGGGAACCCTCGCTCAGGTTGTGGATGGCAAAAAGCTCCACCGAGCTGAAGCACTGAGGAGGGAAGGGATAAAAACGCTCCTTGAGATTCCCACAGCTCCGCAGGGAGATTTTGGGAATCTGTGAGGAAGTTTTGGGGAGGGTTTGGGGTGTCCCCCTTCCTTACGCGGGAGAGGTTGAGGCGCTGCTGAGGGGTTTGGGAGACATTGGCGTGTCCCACGCCCACATCCAGGTGGTTCAGCAGGGCCTTGAGCTGCTTCAGGCTCAAGGTTTGGCTCTCCCCGTAGCGCTGGAGCAGATCCTGCAGGAAGGAGGCTGCCGAGACGCCCGCCCGGACCTGCGGGCAGGGGAGGAGGCAGAGCAGGAGCAGCAGGCAGCAGCTCCGGGGGCCGGCGCTGGGGACCATGGTGCCTCCGGGATGCTGGGAGAGAAACCACATGGCTTTGTTGGCCTTGGCATTCCCAACGCTCCCAAAACCACGGCTCCTCCGCCCCACGGATGGATTTATCCCCAGGGAAAGGGGGGTAGAATTGAACAGGGTGGAAATGTATTTAGGTTTAAGTGAAATGTGCTACTTTCAGCTTGCTAAATGTGCTGTTTAGTGGCTGCAGCCCTAGCAGAACTACCCTAGCTAAAGAGAAAGAATGCAAATTTCTATACTAAATACCAATATATGTTACACATATATATACAAATATATACACAAATATACACACAAATATACACACAAATATACACACAAATATACACACAAATATATATACAAATATACACACAAATATACACACAAACATACACACAAATATATACACAAATATATACACAAATATATATACAAATATATATAATACAAATACCAAAAAATAAGAAATAAAAAAGACGCCTTAGACCTTAAAACAGGCAAAGCAGAGTAACCCAAGAGTCCTTTCTATACTTTCTAACCAAAACTGAATACAAGTGTAACTAGCTGTAAGTGTAATGCAAAATCAGCAAAATAAATATGCATTAGCCTATTATGAAATTCTATACATAGAAAAATCAGTAAGAGTAATAAAAAAAGATCAAGAGTTCTCAAAAGGACGCATGCACATTAAAAAACAATAAGTCCTAACATGCGTCCACAGCGCTGCGAATAAACATACCCATTCCCTACAAATCTTTATTAAAATTATAAAGTTTAATTTTTCATCCACATTCCAACAGCGCTGCGAGCACCCAGATCCTGAGGAGGATTCTGCATTTTTCCACAATCTTTCCATGCAAAACCACCCCTTCCTCATCCACCCCGACCCCTCACTCACCGTGGGGGCTGCCAGGACACGGCTCCTGGGGCCTCTCCAGCTCCGCAGCACCTCGGGGACCCTGGGAAGAGCAGGAAGGTGACAAAAATCCAGCTGTGCCAGCCCCAAATCCAGCTGTGTGTGTGTGGGGGGGTGAGGAGTCAGGCTGCAGCCCTGGCCACGCGTGGGTCCCCTGGGTGTCACCGGGGCTGGGACACAAACACCTCGGTGGCAGAGGAACACGGGAGCCCTGGGGACAGAGGTGGCCTGTTCTTGAGGTTATAATTTAACCAGGATAATTACCATGAACCCAGCGCTGCCCCGTTTAACTGTAGGAGCCTTTATAGTGTTTGCCCAGAATCAATCCTTGCCCTCTCTGTCCCTTTCATGTGGGCCGGGGATTGATAAAAGAGGGGTGGCACAGCCCCGGGGTGCAAAGGAAGGGGCTGGGGAGAGGAGGGGACGCCAGGCACGACCAGGGGACGCCAGGCACGACCTGCACGTCCGCCCTGGGAGGCACCAAGAGCCCGCAGCTCAGGCCGCCTTCCTGGGAAAGCTTCCCTGAAAGCTGCACGGCAAATTTGGGGATTGCCGAGGAGAAAATAAAAAGTCTGCTGCCTCCATCAGTGCAGCAGCCATGCCAGTCTCCTGTGGGGCTCCTGATCCCCCCGGAGGGGCTCCTGGTGCTCCCTGCAGTGTTCTGACGGCTCACAGGCTCCAGTCTCCTCCAAAAACCAGGACATTTTTGAAGCCCGGCCAAGCAATTGTTCCAAAAATAACCCGTGGCCGGGATTTCCACACCGAGGGGCTGCCGGGGAGCCGCAGGACCCCACTCCCCATCCAGGACCCCGCTGCCCCTGCAGGCTCCCACATTCCCACAGGTTTTACCAGCTTATCCCACTTTGGGAGCTTTGTTCTCCGGGAGCTTTCGGCCTCCTCCTGCCAGGGCTTAGCTCAGATGCTTTGACTTAACCCCTCTCCTCCCAAAGCGAGGGAGGGAGCCCATCCAGCGCGGTGCTGGGAACACCCTGCTGGGTGGGGGGACCTCTTCAGCATCCCCCAGACCCTTCCTCTGCCTCCTCTGCCTCCCTATCCCAAGCCACCCTTCCAGCTGGGTCCTCCTGGTCTCCCTGGGCCATGCGGGCTGCCGGTGACTCCCAGAGGTGCTGGCACAAAGCCCAGCGTGCCAAAGGTTCGTCCCGGCCGGCCGCACGTCCCCTCTGGCTGCCCTTTCCAGCCGGGTGCTCCCCAAACCCCCGGTGCCACCGGGACCGTCCCGCTGCCCGCACACCGGCCCGTGCCAAGGCACGCAGCTCTCCCGGTGCCAAAACCCCTAGCGGGGGTTTCTCCCAAAGCCGGATTCACCCAGGGTGGAGAACCGGAGCTGAACCATCCCCTGGTGCCGGGGGAAATGCGGGCAGAGCCGGAGCCGCACGGGCTCGCTCCGTTTTAGGGCAAAACGGTGCAGGAGCCGCCCCTGCGGGAGAGAAGAGCCCGAGGAGCCGCATCCCGGGGCAAACACCGAACAACACCGAGCCTCGCCACCCCACCGCCGGCTGCGGTGCCCCCGGAGCCCCCCGGTGTCCTGCCCGCTGTCCTCCCACCGGGATGCGCTCCCGGAGCCCGGAGCCAGCGCCTGACCTACTTTATCTGTGCTCGGGATGGGGCACGGGGCAGGGATGTGGCCGGGAGCGATGCCACGACAGCACAACGCGGCTCCCGAGGCCAGGCCAGCCCTTCCCGGGGATCCTCCATCCCACCGCAACCCGCACGTCCCCTCCATCCCCGCCCCGGCTCGGGGAGGCGACACCGGGAATAAGAACCGGTGTGACCCCGGCGACGTCAGCGCTTCCCGAAATCCCGGAGGGGACCCCCAAATTCCACCCCCCGGGCCCATCCCGCCCGGAGCCGAAAAACGGAGGGATCCCGGCCCCCGGAGGGCTCCGTGCCCTGCGGCTCGTCCCGGGGCTGGCAGCGGAGCCGTTCCCCGGTCACCGACACGCTCCTGTCCCTTCCTTCCCCGGGATCGCGGGGCGGGCACCGGGACATCCCCCGGGCATCGCACCCCGCAGGGACCCCCAGTCCTGCCCAGTGCCCCCCTGACCGCAGCTGCTGCTGTCGCCGGTGCCATCTCACCCTTCTCCCATCCCACCGCCGCTGCCTGGCCCCACAGCTTCCACCCATGCTGCCGGACCCCATAACTGGGCCCTGCACCCCAAAACTGAATCCTGCACCCCATAACAGCATCCTGCACCTCTACCTGCACCCTCCTCTATCCCACACCCCACGGGCTGTCCCAAAACCAGCCCCCACGACTGTCCCCAGGCTCTAGGACCGGCCCCAAACCCAAAGCAGCCGCTCCCTGCATCCTGCATCCCTCCCCGCATCCCCCATCCCCATCCGGGGCTCGGGGCCGGCCCCGGCCCGCTCCCCCCGCTCCGCTGCCTCCCTCCCCGCGGGGCCCGTGCCCGCAGCCGGTTCCCCGTCGCATGGCAGCGGTGCCGTGCCTACCCCGTGCCTATCCCGTGCCTGTCCCGGTCCGTCCCGGTCCGTCCCGGTCCCACCTCCGCTCCCGCTCCCGCCGCCGCCGCTCGGGGCCGCGCAGCGCGCACGCGCGGCCGCCGGCACGGGGAGCGCTCCCATTGGCTGCTGCCGGCACAGGCCACGCCCCCCACGCACAGGCCACGCCCCCTCGGCGGCGCAGCGCGGGGACCCCAAAAATCGCACCGGGAACCCCAAAAATCCCACCCAGGACCCCCAAAAATCCCACCCTGGACCCCTAAAAATCGCACCCGGGACCCCCAAAAAATCTCACTCAGAACCCCCCAAAAAGCTCACTCAGAAACCCCAAAAATCCCACCCGGGACCCCCAAAAATCCCACCCGGGACCCACAAAAATCCCACCGGGAACCCCCAAAAAATCTCACTCG